CTACGCTTCGGCCGGGTCCGCAAAATCGCCCGTAAACGAGGACCAAATTTTCGCCTCGCGGGAAAGCCCGATTGGCATTGCTAAATTGTCTTGAAAATAATTGATTTGCGACAGTTTTAGAGGCTTTATGTGTGATCTGCAGTAAACAGTACAGCAGTTTGACCCCTGAAACAGTGCATCTGTGTGCGGGAGTGAAAGTAAAAATTTACCAATAATAATTTTTAAAAACCACTCTTCACGCTTACATGGCAAATTATCAATTGGAACGGGAAAGCAATTTCCAAAGATGCCGACAAAGAGTCAAGTAATGATTTTGACTCACCAGACAAGATGGAAAAGTACATAATACACAACTAAAATCTAGTTCTAGACCTAACTTTCAGTTTCAGAGCTAGATATCTAGATCTACTCTACCTGGTGGAACGTCTTGCTGATCGTGCCGGCAACTGTTGCTGCTGGTCTTCAAAGGAAACTGACAACCAACTTCGCCGAGGAGATTCTGGAGATTTCAAGGCTGATCTATGAACAGATCCAGCCATGCTACACTTCAGAGTGAAACATCATACTGGTCTCCACAATATAAACCTATGCCAACTGAAACGTGATTAAAAACAAATAAATTTCCGTACAACAATTAAAATGTTCAAGTCTTCCTAGTGGACTGCAAAGTAAGCCAAGTTGTTTGTGTAGGTGTGTAAAATCAAATCTCCTATTGCTTTATGCCAACTGCCAACAAAAGTATGGTAGCATTCACATGCGATTTAAACAATTGATTTTTTTAATTTATATAAGTTAGAAAACTTAAGAGATATTCATCAAGGCACTTTGTATAGAATTTCTATAAATTATTTGTTTTGAAATGTTCCTCAATTCTCTCAGAGTGAATTTTATGAAATTCAATTCAGAGTATGAAATTGAAAAGATAAGATTTGAATAATAAATGTCAGCTGCTTTGATCATATTCATTCATGAAGATTGTGGGGGGTTACAAAAAGTATGATTTTTAATAACAAGGACACGAGACGAAATTCGAACATAAAAAATAAAAGTAATAAAAGACCGAATGCCGGCCGAATGTTGCATTTTCTCCCAATAACGGTCATCTGATTTCACAGCAACTACACCATGATACATTTTAGTTCATGTGACTAAACAATGAAATTCTGAGGTGTGTTTGTTCTCCTGCCTCACTTTAAACTTACATGACATCGTTTTTTCGCAAGACTTAGATCTAGCCTATAAACTGTATATAATATATAATCAATGACAATCAGCAGTCACAGATGAGAAGTGGGTGGTTGGCGGGTGCTCTTGTGTGGTTTGCTCCTTCAAACATCTACCGTCCTGATCTCTCCTCCTTTTTTGTGTTTGTTACTCTCTTGTAACACCTTTAATTTTAATCTTCGGTAATTATATGACCTTATATTGTGTTGCAAGTGCTGTAAAACTCTTGGTCTTACTGAAAAAGAGATGAGAAGTCTTAGTTTAGTCATATCGTATATTAAGTAGATCTAGTCTGGAGTCTGGTTCAGTGTAAGCCTCCTACTCCTCTCCTAGTGTTTACTGTTGACAATTTTACACTTTGTCATATGACAATGATACTGTCTACATGTTGTGTAATGTACCATTATAGATTAAATTTAGATTAAGTACTGTAAGATAAGCCTACATATATAGGCCTAATATATTATAATCATTATCATACTGTCTAGCATGCACAAAAGCAAAATTGGTGGGATGCCGAAATCTTTTCATCAAATTTTAAGCTATCGTACGTACATTATTATTAAATTACAAAGAATATCAATATATATAGGAACAATTCAGGACCTGAAAATCTGTTCGCTATGTGACTGTGCCTGTTCTGCTAGATATAATATATATGTGTGTGTGTGTGTGTGTGTTAGCTTTGTTCATCATTTACATGTGTGCTATCTACTCTCAGTCTACTATATTACAGATCACTTGACTTAATGCTTAACCATTAACTTGAGAAATAAACATCTATAATATTATATATCATAGGTTTGTATCAATCATTGAAATTGTTCAGGACAAAAACATGAAGTTACACCTAAAAAAAACTATTATCTAACTGACTTTCAACACTTGGACCCCTTTTGACGGAATGCACACTTGAAACTACTCGCACTGCTGGAAGTTGGATATAAACTTTGAAGTTATATATTGACCTTGGCCTTGATTTTGTGTAGGCTATTTTTTTTTACGCATTTATTGGAAAGAGATTTTGTTTCATAGTTTGCCACTGTATTAATGTATTACAAAATACGTGATCAGCATTAGCTTTAAAAGGACGCCCTGGTTGAGTACCCATCTGGGCTTTCTTGTACTCTTCATGTAATTCTGTGGAGTTTTCAAGGCTTTCAACCCATTTAGCTCAGTCCTATCATCTGAATCTTCGAAACTTACAGTAATTATACAGTATTAAAAGGGACATTATAAACCCATAGTTACTCATTTGAACACTGATATTCGATTACAATGGCTGCTAAAATCCAATCATCCTCATGATAACTGTCACAGCAGTAATTGACATCAGGAGTTCTCTCTAGAAAAGAACTCTTAAAGGAGTAGAAGTTCCCTGCGCATGGCAGATCAAGATGAGTCAAGACTGGTGATGTCTCAGTCTCTAGGGTCTACCACTAGTCAAGATGGCAATCAGTGCAATCCCGTTACATACATGTATACTGCCAGCCCTGCTGTACCGCTAACTTCATGCTCTTCCCTAGGTCAGCAGTACAAGGTTTGACTGTACTTTTGATTGTATTAAAAAATGTTCTTATGCTATGTGCAATTGTATTTCTTCCCTTGTTCAGATTTTGCAGCTAAAACTTTCTCAAAATGAGTGTGGCTGTACATCGCTCTCAAGTTCTGTCTCTGTACAGAAGGATAATGCGCATGGCAATGTCATGGACATCAGCTAGTGGACTATCAGAGGAGACTCAACAAGAACAAAAATATATCTACTCCGAGGCTGGACGCCTGTTCAGAAAGAATAAGCAAGTGAGTAAAGTTGGGGTTTGTTATTCTTGAAGTTAGCTACTGACCTCTTGTACCAAAATACCATGAGCATTTCCATTGTGTGCGGAAATGGTCAATGAATATATTTTGAATTTATTTCTCCCATTTTTTCCACCTTTTCCAGGAAAGAAAAAAATAGTAGCAAAAAAAGTGATAGTTTAATGAGCATGTTACACTCATGAAAGATCAATATATATATCTTTCCCTGAAGAAAGTAGATCATCAAGCTTTTATCATACCGATATATTATATGGCAAACTGCCTGGACAATATTCTTCTTTGAATATTTCCGAAAACTGGAAAATCTCTGTTCACAACAGGTACATGAGCATGAAATTATCTTCAAACATAGTTTATGACAGCCGGAAATGTGAGAGACTATTGTCTCATAAAATCTAGCGCACACACATAGCTAAATCGGCAGGATCTTTTTATTATGAACAAACTTCGCTATACATAGTTTAACTCTTTTTCTCCTGGGGGAGGGTAAAGGGGTAAACCCACTATGCAGGGGCCCTCTTTTGGTATGCAATCTAAAAGTGACATTCAATTCATCACAAAATTGGTCATTAAATCAAAGTGAGCTTATTATGATAGTTTTTTTCTAATGAAAGAGCTCCTGATAAAAGAGACCTGTTTTCAGCAGTTGCAGAAAACTTATTGGAAGTTGAAGTCATCTGAAAGGAATGAGCCCAAGCTACTACCAGCGGCTTACTGGCACTGCAGTTCCGAGGGCGAGCCACTGTGAGCGGTTTGCCTGAGATAAGGAGATATATACAATCAATATATGAAAGAAAAAATTGGGGACCTGAAAACCTGTTCGCTACTGATATGTGCTTGTTCACTATGTGCGTACTAAACGGTATAGTATAGAGGAAAAGGGTCTGTTTATGAAAAAATCAAAGGCACTGTTGGATGAAGAACCTTCATTTGACTGCCTGCGAGTTCTAGCTAGGGTAATGAAAAGATGAAAAAGCGTGTCAATGTCTTATCTGCAAAAAGCTCAGCTCAGTTCAAATGAACCGCTGATCATACAACTTTTTAGGTTTGCTGGACTCCCAACATTATTTATGTGACATGAATTTCACTAAGAACATAAAATGGGGAAACAAGTCTTGTTGAAAAACCAAATAGCCCAATCTTTACTAGTGGGAAACCAGGACCAGTCTGCAAAACCTCTGACATCAAAGTTTATTATGAGTTCTTTGGTTTGTGTTCTCATTGTAGCACTCAGCCAAGGGCACATGTGTCACTCTGATGCATCCTTGGTCTCAAATTATGCTTGAACATTCTTTTATAATAATAAGAATTCATAAAAAGTAGGGTCACTGAGGTGCGCAATATTAATTGTCAACACCATGTGTTGTTAGCGCTTGTCACAGAATGTACCAAATTGTTTCTGAAGACCCTTTATTTGGTGGGATATTTCCAGACTGTGCACTTCCTGATTCAGTGAGAGAACACTCTAGCTTTGTCTACTCAACATATTATATGTGTATGCTTGCTGGGTGGCTTATTACATCTCTGTTGTTTGATTTTGTTCAGGAATCGGATGAAGGCAAGATCAGAGAGTACATCAAAGAGGCTGAGACAAGGATTGGGCTAGGTGAGATTACTGAATCAAGTGAAAGCAAGTGCTTCCTCCCACATGCCCGAACATTAGTGAATTGGTGATTTTTCATGTTCTATTTTGTGTTTTTAAATGGTGAAATGAGATTTACATGTAATTATCGAATAGAAAATTCTTTGTTCCTTTTCTAAAAACTAAAACTGTCTTTTTATTAACCTCTTTATGTGGAAACTCCCAGGAATGGGAGGTAAGGAAACTCAAGGCTGAAGTTGGCAAAGAACGTTTTAAAAAATATGGTTGAAAATTTGGCTTGTAGTTTTGTAACTTCTTGGCTGTGTGTTACTCCTAGCGAGCCACATTGACCTTCACTGAGAACCTGGAGCTGCACCATTTCGACGGACAGTAACTTTTTACTCTTTCAAGTTGTAATTCTGCAGTTGTTTGTTATATCTGTGCGAAAGGATTTTCTAATGGGTATCAACTATAATCAATTTTGTTGTTTGAAGTTTGATTTTGTTTCCATACCTGCAACACTTCAAGTCAGTTCATACTTTTTATTTCAGCTGAACACTATGGTACACCATATCCTAGAATGGTGAGTAGCTTTTGTTTGTACTCAGAAAAAAGAAGTTCTTGCATTATAAGGTGCCCCCCCC